AAATTGAAGAAAAGGCAGTGTATTGCCTTGTATTGCGTAAATGTGATGTGTTGTACAAATGATCAGACCTCCTTTATATAGTAGGGGAGTCATATCCTTGATACAATTCTAAATACAGTAAGAAATCTCATGATTAGCTAATTAATCAGCCTCTTCTTGATACGTGCCGAGATTCCCGCAGTGATCCTCGCCCGATTGCGGATATTTCGGCTTTCCGTTATTTGGCTCGGTAAACTTTTCTGGATCTCGTTCGATCTTTATCTTGCTCGGTCTCGATTTTGGCCGATCTCGACCTTGATCGGTCTCTGGGTCACGAGCTCGGCAATCTAACTTTGCTGCATGGCTCGATATACCATGAGGTTGAACCTTGGCCTATCATGTTCCAGTCTCGATCAGTCATACGAAAGGGCAAGCCCGATTTTGACTGTATACAGTGACATTTTCTTATCTTGGGAATTTGAGTTTTAAATTATTTCTTCATTCTGATTCAAGTTGCATGACCTCATGATTGAGCTGGTGGCAATATGCTTCTTTTTGTTATTTTGCATTTGATTCACGGACTGAGAACATAGTTGGTGTAAGAGTTTAATTATTAACTTTATATAATATTATTCTTTCTTTTAATTATTGAATAGATTATACCAAGATAACCTAGAATTACTTATTGAATAGATTATACGATTAATTGACGAAGGAACCGAAGTATAGCTATACGTTGAGAAAATAAAGACTGTTCTTTTGGCCATAATTTACTCTACAGTTTATAGAAGACCTGGAATACTATTTGGTATGAACACTACACTTAAATACTCCCTTCCCTTTCATTTTATATGTAGTGTTGTTCTAAATATAAGAAGGTGTCTCTATTTGAAACATACTAAAACGAAAAGAGTAAAGTATGCCATTAAAATGAAACAGATAACTTACCAGCAGTTGCCGTGACATAGGTGGGAGTGCCATCTTTGAAGTTTTGGTTTCCTGTGATTCTTGTCTTTGTTTGGACCATCTCCAATGACCATCTCCAAGGTATTTAGAAGATGCTTTTAAAAACATTTTCACAACTCTTTTGCAGTGACAACTTCCCTCTTTACTGTTGAAACTAAAATTTTAATTGACATAAACAACTTTGTTATACTTATTGATTCATTATGCATATTTTTGCAAACATATTTTACTGATAGTATGTACCCTGCTGTATTTTTTCTGGATCAATGATAATGATTAGTCTTGATGGTTAGTATAGAATTTTACTCACTGTTACAGCTAATCCTAGAGAAGGCGAAAGGTATAATTTGAGATTATTGTTGAATCATGTCAGAGGACCGTTATCGTTTAAAGACTTGCTAACTGTTAATGGAAGACAATGTGAAACATTCAAAAAATCTGTAAAAGAAAGAGGTTTATTAGAATCAAACAACAACATTTCAGAATGCTTACGTGAAGCAGTCCTTTCCAAAATGCCATCAGCTCTGAGAAATTTATTTGCAACAATTTTGGTTCATTGTAATCCAAGGACGTTAGGAAGCTCTGGGAAACCTATTATGAAGACATGTCAGAAGATTTTAGAAAAATACATGACAATTCTCCTGCTGCTCAACTCCAATGCACATTGAAGAGCATCAATTATTTCTTAGAGAGCATGGGCAAGAAAATTGACAAGTATGACATACCTAAATTTGATCATGAGAGGGATAATGGAAATATATCAGAATGTAGAGAAATAATCGAAGAAAGGTCTATAAAAGTGTCGCCGGAAGATTTTGATGCACAATCAAAGCTAAATCCTGAACAAGAACAAACTTTTAAGACTATATTACAGAGAGTCGACTCTGGCATAGCGGAATTATTCTTTGTAGATGGACCTGGATGAACTGAAAAATATTCCTATATCGCGCATTGCTTGCAAATCTCAGATCAAGAGGCATGATAGCATTAGCAACGGCAACAAGTGGTGTAGCAGCTGCAATTTTACCCGGATGTCGTACAACTCACTCTAGATTCGACATCCCTCTTCAAACAACTGATACAACGATCACAAATATGTCAAAGCAAAGTGGTGGTGCTAAATTGATAAGAAAATCAAAGCTAATAATTTGGGATGAAGCACCTATGGCTAATCGTCATACAATTGAAACCGTTGATAGGAGCTTCAGAGATATAATGGATATTAATGAACCATTTGGTGGAAAGGTCATGGTCTTCGAAGGTGATTTTCGTCAAGTACTACCAATAGTTCCAAAATCTACAAGAGCTGAAACAATAAATGCAAGCTTAGTAAAATTATACTTTTGGAATAAAATAGAAAATATTCAATTAACAAGAAATATGAGGGCAAAAGCAGATCAGCATTCAACTATTTCTTACTATGAATTGGTAATGGAGAGGAACCTACGATAAGAGATGATATGGTCCTTCTTCCAAAAAAATTGATAGTCAAACATGATGGTGGTAGTACCGGTGAAGATAATTTAATAAGAGAAATATTTCCATCTTTAGATGAAAAGTCAAGTTGTGCGAAATATATGACAGAAAGGGCTATCTTGGCTAGCAGAAATGAATATGTTGATCAACTCAATGAGATATTAATTTTCAAGTTTCCTGGCGAAAGCAGAATTTTTTTTTGAGTTTTGACTTCGCAGAGGATGATACCAACAACTACTACCAGTAAGAGTACTTAAATACTTTAACACCAAGTGGCCTTCCACCATACATGTTTGCGTCAAATTGCTATTCTATATCTTTCTGTGAATTCCTGTAAGTACTTAAAATATAATTATTTATTGCTTGACAGGTTGGTTTTGAAGAAAAATTCTCCGATCATGTTGCTAAGAAATTTGGACCCTGCAAATGGCTTATATAATGGTACAAGAATGATATATAGAGGCTTCGACAACAACATCATCCATGCAGAAATAATGATGGGCGAAAATGCTTCCAAACATGTGTTTATTCCCAGAATTCAACTTTCAAATTCCAGTATGGTTATCCTTTTCGATGACAATAAATAAAGTACAATGACAAACAATAGCTAATGTGGGACTCTACTTGTCCCAACACGTATTCTCACAGGGGAATATCTATGTCAACAACAAAGGTTTTGGTCATGACCGAGCAGCCGAAGCGAAAACAAAAAACATATACCAAGAACATCATTTATAAAGAGATATTAGGTAATAACATTACATACCTCGTACAAACAAAAGTCAAAGTAACAAAACTATATAACTTGTCCTAAAGTAGCGATATTATGTGTTTACAGTAACTATAAATATTATTATTCTTATACGATTTATGGTATTTGGATAGTAAATAGTTTGAATGGTAATTTCACTATTGAATGTCAATTAGTTATTATGTCAGAAGTCTAGAAGCTACTCTGATAATAGAAAAAAAGGTGTTAACTAAGAAAAAAATGAACCAAGGCCGGATTTCTTCTGGTATTATCTTTGGTTAGCTGATAGGGATGGATTCGTTCTTTTTTTATAAGTAAGGTAAGCATTTTATATATGAATGACTAGCAACAAGGTTATGCTGGAGTATCGAACCAATTACAAGCTTCTGTCAGTTATAACAGAGTATATAATAAGGAGTTAAAAATGAGTAACATTTGCCATGTTGTCCAAGAAGATAGCAAAAGTATGCAAATGAACTTAAAACTAAGCTAGCGTTTGGTCATAAATTCTCAAATTTATTCTGAAAAATTTGATTTGGGTGAAATTTAGTTTGAAGACGAAAATGTGTTTGGACATCTGTTTTGGGGGAAGTTTGGTATGAAAAAACATGAAACATGACTTATACCCACACATTTTAAAAACTATCACAAATACCCAACAATACCATTATTAATAACATTCATTATATTGTCGCAAACCATAGTCCTGAACATAAATAAATTTGATACAAAATTATCATTTTTATAATTAATTACATGATACACTATCGGATGACCGAGAAGACGAATCAACATCGTTACAAAATAATAAATCGTGGGTTCTTTTATAAAATACAAAAGTTTGAGACAATTTTTAAAAAATATATATTTTGGCCCAAAACCAGCTATTGAGATTTGCGATTTGGCTAAAATGTAGGCAAAATATATGGCCAAACATGTGTTTGCCGAATAAAACCCAAGTTTATTTTGATAAAATCTATGGTCAAACGGGTCTTAAGTATATTTTCTTGTTTGTCTTGAAAAATTCTGGCATTCCTGCCACTCAATAGCTGCCGGGATGGCATACCGTAATCTTGTGAGTACTCTCAGTCTTCTGACATTCCACCCCTGTAGAAGTTCCAAAAGAGTTCTAGGCATAGCCCACCAGAAGAGTCAGAAGCATATCCAGCAGCTGGGCAGTGATCCTACAATGCAAAAAATGAGTTCTTTACATGTCCAATCCCCTTTCTCTGTACGTAGCACAAAGTGCAGCAAGCATTTCTTCCCACCTACTAAATGAAACATTGCATACACAAATTAAGTATACATATTATACATGAATTTTACATATATTATAATTATATAATTATATTTATTTTTATAGATTCTGAACTGTTTTGCTGAATTCATACTTTAGAGGTGTCTTCCTTTTACCAGTAACAACTGAAGCAGCATTCTTCACGGCGCACATCTGCATTGTTCGACGGATGATATCAAGAGGGTAAGCAACAATCTGCCCTATGGTTCCAGCAACATCACCACATCCAAGCTTCGTGGTAACACTCAATTTAGTGTCCACATCTAAATACAACTATTTCTTCAATGTAATAACTTTTTTTGGCATCATCAACTGCTATTACTCTAAATTTATTCTTATTCAATTTAATATACACTATTTTAGGCCGTCTACCATTTAAATATGTGTTGCATCTTCAATTACTATTATACTTAATTCATTCTTATTCTACCTAAATAAAAATCTCCCCTTTTCTGCATAACACATAATACACGTGCTAAACTAAATCTAGTAAATAAATAAAGATAGAAAAGTGAGTTTCCCCAAAACTATTTTATCCCTGTCGTCGGTGTACATTTATTACCCAACCCGACAATTCGATTTCAATATCTCCGTCTAAATTCACTTCTTTCTTCTTCACCTTAGCTCCATCTATTTCCGACGACGATCCGATTTCGCCATCAGTTATTCGTCCGTTGGGTGGACCGTGTTCCCGTCGCCTTTGGATCAGTCGGCTTAAAATCATGAATCCCGAATAGTAATGCCTCTCGTTTCTTTTTTTCTCCTTTAATTAAATATACAGCATTTTCTTTACCTGAAAAATTATGTATTATTGTTCTTAATGCAATCGAAATTTCTCCTTGGATCGCGGCAATTTTAGTAATCAACTTGTTTATTCTTAAGATATTGTATATGGTCTCGCTAGATCCAGCAAATTTACTTTCTTTTGATTAAGGCAATTGGTTTCTTACTATGTGATACTCTTTCATTAGACTGTCCCAAAAAAAATAATCCTTTCAGTATCTACTATTTAGAAACTACTTAGCTTTGAACCCATTCAAATATATATGGCTTGTTTTAAACCACAAGTTTCACAAGTCTTTTGCTCCTTTTATACTCAGTACCTAATCAAACAACATTACATAAATTGGGACGGAGGTGTATCTTGTTGCTCTTTAGTTTACTAGATTGGTTCTGTGAGTTCTAAATTTTCGTTTTAATCTTTCTGTTGGTTTCTCTGGCAATTTTGATAGAATTACTTATTTACATTAATTATCCTGTTCACTGAAACTATCTCTTTGATAAAACAGATTGAGCCTTTTTCCCCAACAAAAATGGATCATGAAATGAAATGGAATTTGGCTTCTGTTCATAAAAAAAAAGTTGAATTGATCTGGAAGCAAAATGCATGTAGAAATGAATATGTCACTAATAATTGGTGGAGTTCTGATGTTATGAGATACTGCGAGCTTTTTCAGAAGGGCCCACTTGGCAAAGAAGCATATAAGTCACATTACATCATAAGACATTTTTTAATGTTTTATTTTTTTTTTGATGACTGAGAAATCCGTCCGGGGCCAACCCTAGCCCGACCGTAGCCCTCGAAACTCGGGGATAATGTGCCCGCTCCTCTACCCTTATCCACTTAATACCAGGCTTAGTTCGTATGGCACTGGGCTCAGACGTGACAATTCTTAAGTTTTTAAAACAGGGATTTGTCAAGGTTTCACTTGATCCTATGTATGAGTACTAGTTTGCACCTCAACGTCAAAATACCCGAAAAGTAGGCCGGAAGGATATCTCTTTGTTTTTAATGTTGCTTACTACCAGTGTAATTAGCTTTTTTCTATTGATAAGTAATAGTGCTGGTTTATTAGTATTTTCAGCTTGAATGGTAATGCTGATTTCACTTTATCTTGTCTTCTGCAGTGATTACTTGTTTAAACTTTTATTAATAGGAGATTCTGGTGTTGGAAAGTCATGTCTTCTCCTGAGATTTGCTGTAAGTGTTTTCATCTCCATCAGTTATTATCTTGCTTTGAGTGATTAAGGTACACTATAGAATATGAACTAAAACTAGGAAATTGCATTTTCCAATTTATACTAGTGCAATTACTTGCTTCAATATCAAATTAACTCCATTTGGTTCAGTGTGCGATTTCCCTGAGACTTTCAATTAGTGGGGATGGTCGTTGCTGAGTTAGGTTGAGCCAATAATATTTCGTGACTATTCTTTTTGTGAAGTTGCGGTTCTATTTTTATTTACTTTTAAGTTGACATGAACTGAGCTGTTCTCTTCTACATGTTTACTTATAGCATGTTTGATTTGGGAGGTAAAGAGGAAGGATGGGAGGAGATGAAAAATTAAAGAGATGGGTAACGATTTTGTTTGTTGGTGAGGAGGTAAAAGAGGTTGGTAAGCAAATGGTCATCCTCTGCATGCCAGCCGTTTGAACCCTTTGAAATTTGATGAGGATGAAGAAGTATAACATTTTTACCTTCATCCTAAATATACCAAAAGCTGGAAGTAAACAATGAATATTCCACCGAGCCCCTATGGCTTTGGTCTAATGGTAAGAAAGTAGATGTGATGTGTGGGTTAGGTGCACGTATCGGTTCGAACCCTGTTGTTTACAAAACTGTTGTATATAAGTAGAGAAGGGTAGAGGATTGGGCCACTATCTACCAGGTTTCAAAACTTGCTCCAGTAGCCCCGAGGATTTCTCTGTTATAAGAAAAAATGAATATTCCATCTAAAATTCTGCCCTTTATCCTTCCTTCCCGTTTCCATTGTGGAACCAAACTTGATGTGCCGAAATTACTGTTGGATCAGAAACTGCCATTTAATTACGGTTCTCTTTAATGTCTGTCTAATTATAAACAGTAAGAATAGTATGTTTGGGCAGTTTGATTGACATATTGCCCATTTGTAATATTCAACATTGGTATGCGGCATTCAATTTAGTTGCTCTGCGATTCGTTTGCTTTGTGTACATTTCCAGATCTTGCTATTTCTCTGTTGACTAACTGATTTATTTTTGTATTTAGTTTCTTTTGAAGTTTGTTGTGCTTTCTAAAAGGACTGTTTTATATTTCTAGGTTCTGGTTTTTCTTGGCTTATTTTTCTGAGTTTGAGTTATCATCTTTTGATGCAGGATGATTCTTATTTGGACAGTTACATCAGCACAATTGGTGTTGACTTCGTAAGGCCAATTTCATCTCACACACTCAGAAACATACGTGTCTCTATTTATTCTTTCTGACAGAGGGAAGTTTGTATAACATGGTCACTTTCTTTTTTGATATCTGTATTTCTTTTCTTGCAGAAAATACGCACTGTGGAGCAAGATGGGAAGACAATGAAACTTCAAATTGTATGGGTTCACTGGTCTTCTTTTCTGTTTCCTAGGGATTTGATGATGTTTTATTCCTGTCATTACATTCTGTCAGATCATGGGACACAATGTGGATTGATAGTTCAATTTTGGAAGTACTCTCTGCCTGATGAATTTTTGTAAAGAAAATGCATGTTGTGTTCATAGTCTCTTGGTTCCTTTATTTGGTTATTTACTTATTAAAAATAGGTTTACTCATAAAGCAATGCAATCAAACATAATGTGCATTATTTTTGAAATTCTATTATTCAGTGATTAGTAGTGCTGAGACTGAGATTGAGCTATAGTCGACCATTAAGTGATGAACATGACTTGCAGTTTTGTTAAGATTCCATCATTGTAGAGATAAGTCCTGAAATTTGAACTGTTGATGTATATAGTGCTGGTGATCCCAGTATGTGGGCATACTCTTTACTGTTTTGTTATTGTTTAAGTGGATGTAAAGTCCTCTTTTCTGCCTCGTATTTGCCAGTGGGACACTGCTGGACAAGAACGCTTCAGGACGATTACCAGTAGTTACTACCGTGGGGCACATGGCATCATTGTAGGTTTCTCTTCTCTCCTTTTTAGAACTATTAACAGGTGGATTTTGTCTTTCTGGCTCGGTAAAATAGTTCCTCCAACCACTATTTTGGTGATTCTGGCAGATAGTTTATGATGTAACTGACCAAGAAAGCTTTAACAATGTTAAGCAATGGTTGAGTGAGATTGATCGTTATGCAAGTGACAACGTAAACAAGCTTCTGGTTGGAAATAAGTGTGACCTGGCTGACAACCGAGCTGTGTCTTATGATACAGCAAAGGTGATGATTTTGCTTTCCATTCATTTTCCTTTTCAGTTCTCTTTTAAGTGCGTCATTTTCTACGTGACTGAAATAGCTTTTGGTTCACGTACAAAGGCATTTGCTGATGAAATTGGTATTCCATTCATGGAGACTAGTGCTAAGAATGCCACTAATGTTGAGCAGGCCTTCATGGCAATGGCAGCTGACATAAAGAATAGGTATTTTATGCATCTTATTTTGGTTTATTTATTGCCTTTCAGCATTTAGAGTGGCAGTGAAGTAAGTTTATCTGTTTCTGGTTAGGCCGAACTGAGTTGATATCTCCCTAACATAATGTTGTTATTGCCATTCCGGCAGTCTAGCTTGTTTCCGGAGATATTTTCCCAAATTCTGCTGCTTCATGTGTATTTAGGTCGTCGGTCTTTGTTTGGTTAATGACTTTCATTGTCAAATACAGGATGGCAAGCCAGCCAGCGTCGAATAATGCAAAGCCTCCAACAGTGCAGATACGAGGTCAACCTGTTTCACAGAAGAGTGGTTGCTGTTCTAGTTAGAATCACTTTTCAGGCCTTCTTTCTGGTTGCACTGTGCCAGTTGTATTCTTTTAATCTGCCAGTATTCTGGTGGCCTGTACAAATCATAAGGGTTGCTCCTAAAAAATTTTCTTTCCTCTTTGATATTTTTTTAAACTGGGGTTCAAAGTTGCAATGTTGGTTTCTGCTGTTTCAGGCAGTTGTTTCATAAGTTAGTTTTTAAGATGGGGATAGTGAGAGTTGTAATGCAGTTGTACTATGTTTCTACTTGACTATGATTCTCTTTAAATAAGTTGCTCTGCAGAAGTGTTGGTATTTTAGATTCTAGTTTCAACCATTGGACAAACATTCTACTCATATTATTCTTGATAAAACATCTCTTTTTACGTAAGCATTGTTTAAAACTTTTTAAATCTATTTATTTTGAGAAGCATATTTATTAAAATATAAATTTTTAAAAAGGAGTACTTGGAAGTTGTATTTAATCATTTTAGGAATTCTTTCAGTAGTATTTTTCCCAAAAAATACTTTTTGACTGCAAATTACGAAAAAAATACACATATAAAGACATAATTTATAAGTGTAAAAAGCCCAATTTATTCTTAATGTTTGGTTTTTTGGCTTAATCAGAGAGACAATATGAATAAAACTAAATACAGAATATTAGATTATTTTCTTATACATTCATGAGGGATTGCGCTCTTTTTTCATGTTGTCTAACTTAAGTTTTAGAATAATATTTGGAAAAGAGATACCGAAATACTGTTGAAATTTTGTTTAAGTTATTTTTATATAGTGGTATTCTTAGGATGACGTTATCCCCATTCCTTAAATTTATATCCATAATAATAATCCTTTTTCTCAATTTGCTAACGAATATCTTTGACTTTATTTAATGCAAGTGACTCTTTCATACATGGTAAAAACTAAAATTTACTAGTTTGCCAGCAAGGATATTAGAAAATAAACGTAGGGTGAGTTGTATTTACCTTCCGAGTTCCGATCCTTTGCACCCAAGTAACACTTAAAATATTCGAATTAAGAACTCTTTGTTCCTACGGAGTCAATGATTATCCCATATAGATATTGCGTATGTTATTTTATATTTTCTTTCTTTACTTACAGGAAAAATCGAACTAAAATTACAAATTTTCCTTTTATATATTGTTTTCTTGATCGTGTTCACACAGTTATTAACATATTTGTAAATAACTTTAAGCCGAGAATTTAATTTCAAACTAGATCTAAAAAATTGGATTGCTAGACTAAAAGTCCGAAAAATATTAATTAACTTTGATAAATAAGGAGTTACTTCAGGGGGGTATCCGATAGATTTGATTCCATATATATATATATATATATATATATATATATTTATATCCTATAGAAGAGTAACTATGAATTCCCAAAATAAAAGAAGGAAAAAATTATTATTTATGTAAAGTAGGAGTAGTATATGTAAGGAAAAAAGAAGTAAAGGTAAGGAAGAAATCTTTTTTGAAACAATTTAAAAGGTAAGGTAAGGTAAAAGTTACACGGCAAAATGATTGGTAGAAGCTATAAATATGCAATCTCTCTAGTTCCATTGCCAAGACTTGGAGAAAACCTCGTCTCTTGTAGTAGCGTACGCTTTGTGAGCCTATAGTAGAATTGAATATATACAACCACCACTTTGTATTTGTATTATATGTTGAAGAAAAACAACACATAGAAAACCCCCTGGGTGAGTAGCATGACAAAAGATGCAAGGAAGTGCTCTCATTGTGGGCAGAATGGACACAATTCAAGAACATGTAATTATAATTCGAAAGGAATCAAATTATTTGGAGTTAGGATCGACGATACTAATAATAGTCACCATGTTGATACAAAAATGAAGATGAAGATTGTAGATCATGAATCGGCCATAAGGAGGAGCAAAAGTCTTGGTAATCTTGAAATTCATGACCACAACGCCGTCGTTGACGCTGGCTATCTTTCCGATGGCCCCATTCATTCCTCCATAAATAGAAAAAAAGGTTTGTCAAATCTTGATCATCATTTCTTTATCTTATATAGTATATTTTTAATTTGTGTCTAAGTCGAATGTTATGTTGGGCGAGTGTCATCATTCCAGGGCGTCTTGCTTAGATGCCATAGGCTTTCCTTTGTGTGAGCCAGAATTCTTATGAATGATAGTCTTATTAATTTTATTTTTCCCAGGAACATCATGGACAGAGGAAGAGCACAGATCTTTCTTAATTGGTTTAGAAAAGCTTGGAAAAGGTGATTGGAGAGGAATTTCCAAAAGTTATGTCCCTACAAGGACTCCATCTCAGGTGGCTAGCCATGCCCAAAAGTATTTTATCAGAATGGCTTCAAATGATAAGAAAAAACGTCGTCCTAGTGTGTTTGATGTGAATCTAAAAGATTCGGTAAATATTTTTATATTCTCCTCCTTTTTATTTATTTTTGCTTTCTTTTCTGTTCTATTAAACTGACAGGTATTTGTAGAATTCACAGATTCCTTCTAAAGCTTCTTCATCTTCACTTTCTATCTCAAACATGGCTCCTGAAGTCCCGAAAGAGGTAAGTCTATAAGCTCGATGCCACATAAAATAACAAATGTTACATATGATTATCTTATTAATTAAAATGGCTATGTTTATTCAGGCGAGTGCCCCATTGGAGCAACTGTTCGACACTTGCCAAATTAAAGGACAGGTAAGTTATTAAGCTGCAGGTCTAATTGATGTCCAAATTACAGATAAAGTATACTCCTCATATGGATAAAATTATCTAGAATAACTAAAAAGTTTTTTTATACTAGTGTCAATTTTAGCTATGTTACTCGGACTCTCCAAAAGTGTTATCGCACCCATGTCAGATCCTCCAAAAATACACTAAATTTGGAGGATCCGACACGCACCCAACAACATTTTTGAACTTTAGCATATATAATTTAAACTCATAGTCGTAACAATGCAACAATTATGTGCAGGCTAGCAAAGCTGCTCCTTGTGCAAGCCGTGAAAGACCCCCACTTTCACCCATGACTAGACCCTTTGGAGTCCCTGACATACGCCATATGCCTTATATGGTAAGAAGCGAGTTCCTTAATTACAAAATTCTTGGCCCATATACTTTGGAAAAGAAAATTCCTTTTTGTTGATAAAGGAAATGAATAGAAAGTTGAGAGTAAGCTCTTAATGTTGATATCACTAGCCATTGGGACAATACACAAATGAACTATTCTAATCCAATGGCGAAAACACCATCTAGCAAGTGGTGTCAAGACGACACTTTCACAAAAAACTTCTCTTATAGTACACAATAGAAAAAAATGTACAAATAGAATACCAATTTGGAGTAGAAAGTAAAACCCTTCGGGCCCCTTAGTTGGTTTGGAGGGTGGTCATCCATATGGATGACCTGGGATTGAATGTCCCCTCAATACCTTCTGGGTTGAGCCTGTCGCACAGTGCTTGCCTAGTGCGGTTTACATCCCCTGTGTGATTTGCAGGTTATTACACAGGGGGAGATTTATCCAGTGCGCACAAAGTGTTCACCATAAAGTGCTCATCCGAAAGGTAGAGGCTGTGGCAGAGATTGTAGCGGCTACGGGTTTTTCCCTCTTACCAAAAAAAATAAAAATAAAAAACCTTGAGAACCGACAAATACAACTTAAGAAATTGTGACAATAGATGGACACATACGACACTTGTCTAATATGTTCTAACGTTGTCTTGTGTATACAGATGGGAGTACCCAGGGGCCTTACAGCAGCCAAAGTAATAGCACCTACGGTCTCGTGGGTTCCCGTATTCAATTTCCCACCTAATCAAAACCATCTTTTAAATTACCGATTTGCACCTTTTGTGGCACGGCCACCTACTGCTGGTCTATTGTCACACCCACCTCCTTCTTCTCAAGTTCAATCTCAGCCAGGGCATTCAACTCCAGTGACAAATAACGATGGTTTAAACATCAGTATTGGAGCTCTTTGAGTTTATTTTTGAAGTAATTCTTTACAATAGTTGGGCAATTTTTGGGTCGTTCTTTTGCCTAGCTACTTTTTGGTTTGCTTTATTTATACTTTATTTATTGAGGTAAAGAGAATAGAAGTTTGCGGCTATTGAATTATTGGAAGTCATGTCCTTCAATATATAGTTGATTTATAGTGATTCTTCTCATGTTTTCTGGTGGATTCAATAAATATCAGTTTTTGGAATGGATTTTCAGTACATATCAAATGAAGCATTTTGACATAATTAAACCATCATACGGAAATTAAATAATTGCACAAGATGTCCTGTACTGCACAAGTAAGGGGGTTAATTAACAAGATCTGTCCCCCAGGAAAGAATTAACGTCCGGCGTAAGCATTATAGTTGTCTTCTAGTTGTNATATATATATACACACACACATTGTTGAGTTATTGAGTTCAAACTGGGTTCAGTACGATAAAAGTTTACCAAATAAATACAAATCACGGACATTAAATTTGGTCCATCTAAATTTCCTAGTAATTCAAATGAATTGTGATATAAGTCGACGAATCCTTATCATTCGATCCAACCTAAAAGTTTTGAACCTTTTTTGCTTGACATAAGGAATTACAGTATTATATATATATATATGTTCCCAATTGCCGCCACTGGACCTAGAAAATTTTGAACATTTTTTGCTAGATATACGCGTTTTTGTCCTATTCGCCGCTTCATGACCTAGAAATTTTGAACACTTTTCGCTAGACATAAGGGAATATATAGTTTTGCGTAGTTTAATTTTATTAGACACTTGAGACCAGATAATTAAGCATTTAAAGTTTGTTGAACACAAGACTAATTACAACATCAATCTCCATTTATTTCGGCCGTTCGGAATAACAAGAGACTATTACAATAATGCGGACTCGGTAAAGACAAGAGCCCTTTAGCAACATAAACAAGCAATTTAACAAACTTCTCCAACAGAATACAAGAAGAAAGATGCAGAAATGGAATAAACTAATGAAATTTATGTAAACTAATACAGCAGCACCATGATTCCCAACTTCAGTAGATTACACCATATAAACACAGAGACCCGGTACTACTCCATACATGCAAATTAAGCCCAGACCTCAACCCTGCTGGGTCCCAGTGACATGTTGCTGCCCAAACTCCTGAGCCCTGTCTTTCATCTCCCCAGCCTTAGTAGCCAACCTGTGCCTTGCATGCTCCAACTGGTCCGCACCGGGCGGGCGCTTTCCGGTCACGTACCTATAAATCCATGATAAAACGCTTATCGCCGCCACCCCAAATCCGCCCGAAGCCAAGAACCCTGAGACCAACATGAAAATAGTAATAACAGCAGGAACAATCACTGGGCTAAAAATCACAAGCAAAGGGGTGGCAACAGTAAGCGCAATCACCGTTCCGGCTAAAGTTAGGCCGGAAAGAACAAGAAGTGAACCGCCAGCAGTGACAGCAGTAGCAGCCTTCACCATCTGGTGAGATCTAGGCTGTTGCACTGGATTGAGCTGCTGGTGCTGGTGCTGAGTATGTTGCTGCCCATAGTAATCTGCCATACTTGATGAATTTGTAGAAAATTTTCAGAATCTTTTTCTTCCCAAATGGAGGTGAATTGAATATGGGGATTGTGAGATTTACGGAGTTGGATTATATAGAAGGGAAAGGTCAGGAGAGAAGGGGGCACGTGTTTTAGGAAGGGATGTCAAGTGTTATAAGGGCGAAACATGCGGCGATTGCATGCAATGAGAATGCGTGTTTATGAGACACGTACAATTGTTGTTCTATTTGTAGTCTTGTGTACTTGTAACCGTTGGGGAACTTATGAAATGGACAAAAGCATCCAAAAGACAAGGCACTTTGTAAGAATGGTAAATTCGTTATATTTTTCGGACTTCTTTTATTGCTTTTCGGGTTCTTTATTCTATGGTAATATATTTGTTTCCGCTCAAATTTACAAGTGTTATAAAATAATAAAAGGAGAAGAAAAGTATTGCAAGAAAAGTAGAGAGAACTTTTATTGATTTGGGATGATTTATAATGGAGTAGAACTTTTTTATTTATAGGAAAAAAGTGACTTAGTCACAAAGTAACAAATCCTAAAATCTCTCTAAAATATAGATATTCACATTAAATACAGTTCTATTCATAACACTCCCCCTTGAATTTCTGTTCAACAGATAACGTGCATCATTAAAACCTTAACTAAAATAAAATTCAGTGGGAAAAAAAATTCTAGAGAAGGAAAAGAAGCACGCATGTTTAGAAATACGTCTTTTGGTTGTCTCATTAAAAACCATGTAAGGAAAACCCAGTGGGATAAAACCTTGTAAGGGGAAAAGAGTACAACACGTATTAACCCCCCTCATGAGAGCATCAATTCACATCTTTGAGCATTCGCATCCCAATCTTGTACACTAGCTTCTTGAAGGTTAACGTCGGTAGAGATTTGGTGAAAAAATCAGCCATATTAACTTGAATGAATATGTTGCACCTTGAAATCATCATTCTTGATAGATGTGTAATGTCTTCATATAATGTCGTGGAATGCCCTTTCCAATATCCCCATAGAGGTAAAATTCTCGCTATTACATTATCATGCTTATAGTTATAGCAAGATACATATGTGCACAAATTGCACTTAGGATGTGGTACTTCAGGACCAAGAATTGTAGATGCTTTAAGCGATTTAAATCCTTCAGGGATTGTCATATAAGTTAAGTAATATAAGCCATATAAATAGACTTTAGATGCATATCAAGTTTTCATGACATGCTAGACATATAAGATAGATAAAAGTGATTGCACACACTATTGGCTTTATACTTTCAAGTGTTTGAACTGCAGGTTTAAAACTACATATCTTTCATATAAAACCAATTCTACTTGAATTGTTTCTCCGGACTTAAGATGCTCATATATATTTAGCATTATCATAGATGTAATCGACGAACATTTTATATCGGTTCCTACCTCCCTTCTTTCATAAAGACATAACATAGAGATCACTTCATTGATATTTTTAGGTACCTGAACCTCTCCTGAAATTTTATGAAGTGTTATGTCATGTGATCTTCTAGATCATTTGCCTCCTTATTATGATCATTTTGATCATTTGCTCATCTTCTTTATCAAGAATTTTATTTGAAACCGATTTGTCTATATGTTTTAAGCGTACCATTGACTTTGTCCTTCTAGGACTTATTCTAATATGAGCATTTGTAGTGAGAATATAATTACTTCCTTTGGGTCAGCAAATGCGCCTGGCATGCTTTGGAATATATTGCAGATGAATTATCTTTTTATGAACTTCAGGTTGATATTATCTTATTCGAGGATCTAGATGTACAAATGATAATTCATTCCACGTAATTTTTTCTCAACTGTTTATCCCATCTCCCCCTCATGTTAGAAGAACTAACTTACTTCCTCAACTTTGAAAACCCACCTTTGTGCGTTATGGTGTTAATCAAAATATATATCGCACATCAATAATAATAAGATGGAGTTATTTGGTTCCTGATCTTGAATCACTTGTGAGGGGACAATGTAATATACTTTCGCATATAACGTATATCAAACTGATATAGATAACTTTGTTCTCATAATCAATAGTTTAACTAATAAGTGAAGGCACTCAATAAATTATTTTACTAAACCAACTTATTAAGATAAACTGTCTTGAATAGAAAATATAAAAATTATGCTCGAAATTAAATTGTTGACCAAGTTACCTCGCAAACACCAGATTGCGAGTTAATAATAATCTCAAATGTAACTATATCATAGATGCATCTTATATGGTATACATGGCAGGTGAATGAACCCGTATTCACATATGATATTTTCAGCATTTATGGGATTCAATCCCAATTTTATTTGGTCTATTAATTAATGAGAACAAGTAACATAAGAGAATTCGTAAAGAACTTTTTAGTTCTTTGATATCTACCCATGTGAATTCTCTTTTATTTTTGTACATCATACTTAAATTAATATGGCTAAACCAATTATGCCAACTGGATAAGTTATCAATGTTGATAAACTTCAGGTTTACATCATGACGCGTGCAATTATCAATAAACTCCAAGTTTATTATGATATAGATTTTTATATCAATAAACTTCTACTTTATTGTGGAATTCTTTTATTTGTATAGTACAAACTAGAGAATAAAGTAAGTAGCATTTCACATACATATTACCCAGCTATAAGTTGTAGTAATAGAGATATTAAATGCAACGACCCGACCAGTTATTTTACTCTTTAGAATCACGTTCCCTCAAATAAGACTCCCCGTATGTGCTTTTACTGTTTTATAACTTGCGGGAATGGTTAGTTCGGGATTGGGAAGGGTTCGGGTTGAAATCGGAACACTTGGTTCCATGGTTTGGCTTTAAAAGGTTAAGTTTGACTTCGGTCAATATTTTGAGTAAACGACTTCGGAATCAAGATTTAACGATTTCAATAGGTTCGTATGATGATTTCGGACTTGGGCGTATATTCGGATTGGGTTTTGGACAACTCGGGAGCATTTCGGCGCCTAATAATGAAAGTTGACTCTTTGAAGGTTTTAAAGTTCTTTAAATTTGGTTTGAAGTAGGTTTTGGTATTATCGAGGTCCAATTGGAATTTTGAGACCGGAAATAGTTCTGTATGGGGATTTAAGACTTGCATGCAAAATTTTGTGTCGTTCCGAGTAGTCTAAGTATGTTTCGGCGCATTCGGAGTAAGTTGGAAGAACTTTAAGTTCATAAGTTGATTCGAATTGGTTTAGGGTGTGATTCTTAGTTTTGATGTTGTTTTACGCGTTTCGAGGGTTCAAGTGAGTTCGTTTTATGATTTCAAACTTGTTGGTATATTTGGGCGGGGCCTCGGGTGTCAATCGGACTAGGCACAGACCAAGTTTGGACTTGCAAGAAGAGCTGAAGCACCAGGTTTCTGGTGTAATCGCACCTGCGGAGGGCTAGCCGCAGGTGCGAACTCGCAGAAGCAAGCCATGGACCGCAGAAGAGGCGCAGCCCAGGCTGCCCAGTTTTCGCAGAAGCGGCAAGGTGACTGCACCTGCGGATGCGCAGGAGCAAAGAGGGGGTCGCAGAAGTGAAAGGGGTCGCAGGTGCGACAAG